TGGTCAACAAGGGTTTGTTAGTTTTCCTTTTCAATCAGTCAGTCATTTACAACATAGAACTTCGTACGTACGTACATCAGTTCAAGTTACCATACCACGATAGCACACAGATGCAATAGTCCATTCAACTTCCGTGTGGTAAAGGTAGTAGAAGTAATGGCAGTAATCGTAAAGATCACGCTTCAACAATATTATTCAAAAAGTATAATCCAGGGAAGTAGATTTGAGACAAGGAAGAAGAGGGTCATGAGCAGTTTGGATTTAAATTTGAGAGAACACACTTAGTGGATGCATCTGCGCCGTTACAAACGATTTGGAGCCATGTCATTCAAGGTCTATAATCATCGATTACCATCACCTCCAACCCAACCTAATCCCAGCACACAGATGCGATTGTCCATTCAACTTCCGTGTGGTAGAGGTAGCAGAATTAACAGCGGTAATCGTAAAGATCACGCTTCGACGATATTGTTCGAAAAGTATAAAACAGTGAAGTAAATGGAGCTATTATTCATTGTCAATCCACGTGATTGAATCGATGGGCAAAACACTTCAGGGATCAGTTCAACTGGCCTTCAATAACACTTCGGTTACCCACGATCTCCAGTCATCCTGAATGGCAAATCGACGTAAGCCCTCTGAATTTTTATGAAGTTGAGTAGGCTAAGAGAAATCTGAAGCGACGGAGAGCTGCGGGTTCTGATAGATTGACGCCTGAGATTTTTAAGCATGGTGGTCCAGTTTAGACAGTTAGATTAACTGAAATCTTAGGTAGAATCTGAGAACTGCGCCTAATACCTATCTAACTAGTCTGTATAACTAGTTGACCTATTCCACAAGAAAGGACAAAAGTCCTCTTGTGACAATCACCGAGGAGTAAGTCTAACTAATGCAGTATCTAAAATATTGGCCTCAGTAATACTCCGATGCCTAACGAAAACTAGTGAAGAACAGACTAGAGAAAACCAGGCTGGTTCACGACCTGGACGTGGCTGCATAGACCAAATATTCACAGTACGTCAGGTCCTAGAACAAAGACACACGTTCATACGCCCCACAATAGTAGTCTTTATCGACCTCAGAGCGGCATTCGACTCTGTTGATCGTCGGGTTTTGTAGCAGTGTCTGTCATTGAAAGGTGAACCAGAGAAGTACATTAACCTTACACGAGCTCTCTACTCGAACACTACAGATCGAGTGAGAGCTTATAGCGAACTGGCGTCGGAATTCTGTAGTTTAAGTGATGTCCGTCAGTGCTGACCTCTTTCCTCATTCTTGTTTAACTTAATCGTAGATATGCTTCTCGAGTTCACATTATCGTCTGACTCTTCAGGAAAGGACATTTTACCAGGAGACACGCTTGCTGACTTAGAATATGCTGACGATATAGTCCTATTCGATGAAGACGCTGACAAAATACAGAGTCTTCTGACTACCATAAGCAGTCAGTCAGATGCAACGTAGAACTTCGTACGTAAGTAGATCAGTTCATGTTGCCATACCACATCAACACAGAGATATAATTGTCAATTTAAATCCAATAGTAGTAGAGGTAGTAAAGGTATTAGAAGTAATCGAATAGATAAGGATTAGAAGATATAATTCAGGAAGTATGATTCAGTGAGATAAGTTAAGAAAGTCAAAACTAGAGTGGTTGAAAAATCCAGAAGATTAGGGTTCAAGAGAACACAGAGAATAAATGCACCGGCGCCATTGCAAACGGTTTTCAGCCATGTCATTCACGGTCTCTAACCATCGATTATTATCATCTCGCGGACCCCAACCAGGTAGTCGACAATTACCGACATGGCTAAGTCCACTCGTCAATGACTTCATGACTTCCTTAAAAATCTCAGCGGTAAGACTATCAGGACGTGCTGCTCTACCACGATTTGGATTTCCTACAGCTTTTGTATCATCGTTAAGACCAGGAGGACTTACATCGACTTGCATTCAGGATGACTGGAAATCGTGGGTAACCGAACTGTGGCTGAAGGCCAGTTGAACTGATCCATAAAGTTTTCTGCCCATCGGTCCAGTCTCCTGGATTAAGAATAAATAATAGTCCCGTCATTTTCTGAGATAGTCTCACTTACACTAGGATTCCTAATACCGCTTTCCTTGATGAGTCTGAATAGTTGCCTATTGCCGCTGCCTTTTCCATCTCTCTCGCTTTCTCCACTCACCACTGTTCTCGATCATTGAGTAAGGCTTTTTATCAGCCTACGTCTAAGCTCCCTCCGCTTCTCATCGCACTCAGAGCCAGGTGTGATGAGTTTTCGAGCATCCATCAGTTCGGTAGATGCTACGGAGATTCACGGCTTCATTTTAAGGATGATGGTCCAGTTTCAGCAGCTAGGTTGACCAAGATCTTAGGTAGAATCTGGGAACTGAACGTAATCCCTTTCGAGTGGTCTCAGTCCCTGATTGTCCAAATCTTTAAGAAAGGACAAGTCTTCTTGCGACAATCACAGAGGAATCAGTCTAAATAATATAGTTTCTAAATTGTTAGCCTCAGTAATCCTTAGACGCCTAACTAGTGCTCGTGAAGAGCAGACTAGAGAACACCAGTCTGGTTTTCGAGCTGGACGTGGTTGTATAGACCACATCTTCACACTACGACAGGTCCTGGAACACACACATGTTTAGGCGCCCTACAATAGTTGTCTTCCTGGACCTAAAGGCGGCATTCGACTCTGTTGATCGTGAGGTCCTGTGGCAGTGTCTGTCATTGAAAGATGTACCAGGGAAGTACATTAACCTTATACAAGCTCTCTTCTCGAACACCACTGGTCGAGTGAGAGCTTATGGCGAACTGTCACCGGAATTCTTCACTTCAAGTGGTGTCCATCAGCGATGTCCACTCTCTCCATTCTTGTTTAATTTTATCATAGACATGCTCCTAGATATAACCTTTTCCTCGTCTGAATTTTCAGGAGTAGACCTTTTACCAGGAGGCTCGGTTATTGACTTAGAATATGCCGATGACATAGTTCTACTTGGCGAAGACGCTGACAAAGTGCAGTCTTCTGACCACCCTAAGCAACAATGCAAGCATGTTCGGGATGCAATTCTCACCCTCGAAATGCAAAATGTTGCTTCAAGATCGGGTTGCATCGGCACCTGAACTAGTGATGGGCAGTGAAGTAGTTGAGCGTGTTGAGCGCTTCACTTATCTTGGGAGTTTCATCAGTGCTGATGGCCTGGTGACTGACGAAATCTCAGCACGGATACAGAAGGCTCGATTGGCTTTTGTCAACCTGCGTCACTTATGGCGAAGGCGAGATATCCGTTTGCTGACTAAAGGACGAGTGTACTGTACAGTAGTTCGCTCCGTCTTACTTTATGGCTGTGAAACATGGCCAATGAGAGTAGAAGATATTCGTAGGTTACTGGTTTTTGATCATAGGTGTCTTCGGAGGATTGCTCGTATATCCTGGGATACCCGAGTGAGCAACGCTGTTATTAGGAAGCGGGTGCTAGGTCAGAATGGCAGATCAATAGATGAAGTAATGAAACTTCACCAGTTGAGGTGGTTGGGACATGTGTTGCGTATGCCTAACCACCGACTGCTTCGCCGAGCTTTGTTTTGTAGTGTAGGAATAGGTTGGAAGAAAGTTAGGGGCGGCCAGACCAAAACATGGCACAAATCCATGAAGTCATTGACGAGTGGACTTAGCCATGTCGGTAATTGTCGACTACCTGATTGGGGTCCGCGAGATGATAATAATCGGTGGTTAGGGACCGTGAATGACATGGCTGAAAACCGTTTGCACCGGCGCCGGTGCATTTATTCTCTGTGTTCTCTTGAACCCTAATCTTCTGGATTCTTCAACCACTCTAGTTTTGACTTTCTTAACTTATCTCACTGAATCATACTTCCTGAATTATATCTTCTAATCCTTATCTATTCGATTACTTCTAATACCTTTACTACCTCTACTACTATTGGATTTAAATTGACAATAATATCGCTGTGCTAATGTGGTATGGCAGTTGTACGTTGCATCTGACTGACTGACTATATATCCTGGTCTTACGGATTTTTTGCAGGTGTTTATTTGATCAGTATAATTGTTTATTTCTCAATCATGGTATGCAACCTCTGGTATCTTTGTGAATCGTTCAATTGTAGATGTCAGCAGTAGATGATTAGTGACTCTAGTAACTAGCTTTTAATACTTTGTGTGCTGTGTTTTCAACAATTACAGTGGAAATAGTTTCTTACCACTTCTTACGTCCCATCTTTTAAAAGTAAGTTATATAAACCGTGATTGGCTGTCGAGTCGAGATTTAGATCACAAATTATTCTGAGTACCCAACGACAGTAAAACGTTAGAATTGAGTTTGAGAGCAGTCTAAAGTTTGTGGTTGTAAATGTGACTGGAGAATTTCTTCTGGCTCAGTTACATAAAAATAAATAGTTTTCTTTCCGCTCACTTTCATTCTGTTGTAAATACTTTTATTTTTGTAACTTGACGAAACGTTACAAAAAGTTTGACTTGACAGTTGTATGTTTTTATATTCTACCAAATAATTCTGTATCTTCCTGTACCTTAACCATTTATATCAAGTTGTATATACGTGCCTGTTTTTACTTTTAAGTGATTAGTTGCATTGGATCTAGTCAAAGAAGACTCAACTTCATATAAGTAGTTGCGAACTCCTGTTTTTGCTCAGTTACTGAGTACCACTTGCCAGTCAACAATAGTGGTCTTATGTTAAACTTCCAAGATAATTACATATAGTTTGAAGTTATTGATTGTCTTAGACTTATTTAAAAAATTAGTTTGGATAAGTATGACCATATTCTTAACTGGATTAATCATGTTTAATAACACTAAAATTTAGTTAACAGTGCGTTCGTTCATAATGCATGCTTCTTCAGCAGTTACCTACGTATTTCTTGTAATTTCTCGTTGATTTTTTACGAACGTTTTCATTATGTCACTTATTCAGTAACGTGATAATTTATTACATTGCAAACTTTTTCCTATTAGTTCCTTTTGTCGAAATGGGGTCATGCTTTAAATACTAGAACTAAGGAAGAAAAGCTATCCTATTCTGGAAAAATGGCCAGTGCAACGTATACACAAACAGTAGAGTATATTAAACCACTTCTTCGTACACTTCAGAATAATGTAAGTCATCTCATTTCGTCATTCACAACATCACTTTAATTTCAGCGCTGCAAAGATGATATTTTAAATTCTTTGGTTAAAATCATGGTTTTAATGATTGATCGGAACTATCTGAAGGTTAGTTGAACTATCATTCTGCTTTTCTTATTTTATTGAATAGATATTAAATTTATTTCTTCTAAGTAGTGGTGAAATAAACTAATCGCCTTCACTTTTAAGATATTTCACAAGGTGATCAGAGACAATTCTAGTTTACAGTAAACTATTTCCAATATATACGGTACAGTTGAAGCAATCTATATGACTGAATTATTATCATTATGTAATAGTAAAGATTATCACGTCATATGAAACTTGCGACTTATTACCATTTATATTTTAATTAGGGAAAGGGGTTTGTGGACATCATATTATTTACATAGTTGAAATCGCCTTCATTAGTAGTCAGTCAGCCAGTCAGTTACAGCGTAGAACTTCGTACATGAGTTACTTATGCAGGGAGCGAGATACCTGTCTACTAACCAAAAAACGTGTTAATTGTGCAGCAGTTCGCTACACCCGAACCTATGGGTGTGAAAAATAGCCAAAAAAACGAAGTCACTGGTCAGTCAGTCACAACGTAGAACTTAGTACGTACGTACATCAGTTGAGGTTGCCATACTGCATCAACATAAAGACGCAACTGTCAGTTCAAATCCAATAGTGGTAGAGATAGTAGAAGTATCAGCAGTAATGAAGAAGATTAGGGTTCGAAGATATGATTCAAGAATTATAATTCAGTGAGATAAGGTTAGAAAGACAAAGATAGAGGTGCTGACGAATCCAGAAGATTAGAATTTGAGAGAACACAAAGAGTGGACGCACCTGCGCCATTGCAAACGATTTTGAGCCATGTCATTCAAGGTATCTATCTATCGGTTACTTCCGTCTCGCAGACCTCAACTAGGTAGCCTACATCTACCAACATGACTCAGTCCACTTGTCAGTGACTTCATACATTTGTGCCATGTTTTGGTCTGGCCGCCGCTGGCTTTCTTCCAACCTACTGCTACACCACAAAACATAGCTCGTCGAAGCAGTCGGTGGTCGAGCAATCGTAACACATGTCCCAACCACCTCAACTGATGACGTTTCATTACTTCATCTATTGATCTGCCATCCTTACCTAGTACTCGTTTCCTAACGACGGTATTGCTTACTCAGTTGTCCCACGATATACGAGCAATGCTTCGAAGACATCTATGATCGAATACTAGTAACCCACGAATATCTTCTACTCTTAACGGCCATGTCTCTCATCCAGAACGGAGCGAACTACTGCGCAGTACGCCCGTCCTTTGGTTAGCGAACGGTTATCTCGCCTACGCAATAAACGACGCAGGTTGACAAAAGCCTATCGAGCCTTCTGTATCCGTGCTGAGATTTCGTTGGTCACCAGGACTGATGAGACTCCCCAGATAAGTGAGGCTGTCTGCACGTTCGACTACTTCACTCCCTATCACTAGTTCAGGTGCCGATGCAACCCGATCTTGAAGCAACATTTTGCATTTCGAGGGGGAAACCGCATACCGAACATGCTTTCATTGTTGCTCACCGGTGACTAGCTTTAAGATGTGTTGCATAAGTTTTGGTGAGAAATCGTGACCGGTGGAGTTCAGTCGTGTCGGGTAGGAGACAGTTATCTGCCTGAGGTAATGAATGAATGTTGCGCAACATCATAGATCGATTAAAGTCAGACAATAACACCATTTTATGCCGACTCAGTTATCTGAAGATTAAGGTTTCGCGCACGAGATGGAATTTCCTCAATTCGATTCCCAAATTCGGGGGTGGTGAATGTGCTCAACTGTCCTATACTACGACTAAGTGACCTTCCAGTGCCTTCAAGTTTCTAATGGTGGTCTAGCTAAGATCATTTCTTTGTTTGTTTCATAAGTCATAATCACCTCACTAATACATATTTAGCTAAATAATTGTAAGGACCCTTCGTCTACTTTTGAAATTAGATGCATCATGATATATAGACAAATTGTCATTTGTTCAGTAAGAATTACCTTATCGCATACCGTAAGTTTGATCATGGTAGAGAATTCGTAGCAGGTTATATGCAATAGTCCTCGTTTGTATTTGTTTTCATTTTCTTATTTCTTTTTTATAGGCCAATGATGCTTATTTAGAATTAGCTATTGGTAATGCTCCTTGGCCGTTAGGTGTTACAAACCATGGTATTCACTCACGTACTGCGCAAGAAAAAATTTATGCCAAAAACGTAGCACATGTTCTTAATGATGAAACACAACGTAAATATATTCAAGCTATAAAGAGATTGATGACGCAATGCCAAAAGTTTTTCCCATCAGATCCTTCAAAATCGGTCAATTATATGGGCACTGTGGGATAATTTACAATGTTCCTAGTTTTACTCTTTCATTCAATATATTTTGTACATAAAGTTTTTTTATCCAATTTAGTTGTTTGCTACATGTAGATATCATTTATATGAATTTCGTAACATTGTTTATATTTTTGTTCAGACATTGTCACGTAGTTACTTCACAACACTTCTAATTTACTTGAAAACAATCTTTCATATTATAGTGCGAATATTAACTTTGTTCATTGATAAGGACACAGTTTTATTAAATCTGAAGGCTTGATGTGATTATGCACGTAGTTTTTCGAACTGCGTCATGAGAAGCTTAAGAAATATGATAACTATTGTGGAGTAAAATTTATGATCAAGATCATCTAGATGAATTAGTTCATTTCATTTCCACCTTAGTTCTTTGTAAGATTAAAATACTCATTTATAATTCCTAGTGATGAGGTCAATATCACCACCATTATCACAATGTCTCTCATTGTTCTGAATAATTTACTGGTTTTTTTTAGAAATACACATGTACGCAACCAAAAGTGTTAATGAATAGTTAGGTTAGCTTTTTCTGTGCTAAATTTAAAGTTTACTGAAAACAATCATGATTGTCACTTGAAAAGCATTAATTACAACAGTTGTGTGAATAATGTCAAGATCTGTTGATTGTTCTGTATTTTAAAATCTGTCATAGCTCGTCATGAGAAACTTCCTCTCATGAAGCAATCCTTGTTGACATGATATCGAGGAATAAACGTATCTATATATGTTCTTGTTACTCATGCATTTTACGTTATCTTAGCCAACCTTAATTTTAATTAAGCGGTGGTAAATTGAATGTGTAACTAGCTCGCTTCCATATATCTTTGTTATTTAACGTGTTTTTTCTCTAACCTTACATTCCCGCAGCCTTGTCCAAATAATGAGTGCAGGCTTGTCTTATGGGTTTTAACGTGTACTATTATATAAATACTAACTTGTTATTTATCTGAACAATCATTACCAGATCGTTCCAAAAGCAATTTTTTGTGGTTGATTTTTGTTGTAACGGTTGCTTTAAATTTCATCTATGTCCCACTAACAATTTTGAATTTTCAAACCACGAGAAATGGACTCCAGGAAATTGTATTCCCTTTTGACTTGGTTACCTAATTCAATCATTAGCCTTATACTTTGTAGGTTCATGTGATTTACTAAAACAAATTACATATGTATCTTGAGGATAATTATATTACTTGTGAGTAACCTCTTAATTAATAATGCATTTGTTGCATGTAGCGAATTTGTCCCAGTTCGGTTAGACGTGCTGAAATGTTCAGAAACTAAGGTGTACTGTGTAGCTATTGCCTCCTAGTTTTATAGTATCGAGTGATATATATCCTTGATCTCATTCTCCAAAAAGTTAAATCGGTATATGATAAGGCGCAATCATTACCTAATGTTTATTGTCAATCATTACTTGGTTGACCTTACAAGTTACGAACCCGAAGAACGAATTCTCCACAAAATCTATAGTTCTCGATCTTGTTCCATCCAGATTTGAGGGTTTACTGTAATTAAGATGGAATAACCGTCCAGTAAACCCAAACTTACTGTTCCGACTACTAACAATATGTACGTCCGTGTAGCCGTAGTAAATTTTTATCTGTCACAGGTTGTGCGACTTCATATTAGTACTATTAATTTTCACCTGATGTGCCTGAATTACTTTGCTAACCAGTATTTTATCTTGTGGTAAAATATGGGTAACGTTTGTCCTAACTGTTTTAGTTGTTGCATCAGTGGAAATAAACTGGTTTATGACTACAGACAGACATGTCTGAGTATATAATATACATCTTGACCTTATGCACTTGTTCTAACGATTGTCATATCAATCTTCCCCTGAAATTGTAATAGCATTTCATAAGTATAACTGCTTATGATCCCATCAATCAGTAACTTTCCACCTAATACCCATAGATTCGGTAAGATTAATTTGAAAGTTCCACTACATTTGGTAGACGCTTTGAAGAAATCTACAAACAAATATTAGCAACCTATAGATTTCCCCAACCGTTATAGATTATATTCCACGACTATAAAGCAATAGTGAAGTGCGCTGACCGTTTGATAGTCAGATGGAAGTCTCATTAACGGCAGCAAAAAACTCGTACTAAGATTACAAAAGTAACCGATCAACAAAGGCTAATAAGACCTCTAAGACGAGTACCGTTGTCAAGTATCTGAAATACTAATATCGCGATCCATCTTTTTGATAGCATTCCGTGAAAAGGGAGGAATGCAAGACTTATTTCATCAGTAAGAGTAGAGGTTTGTAGTTGATCATGTTACGTATTTCAGAGCAACATGAGTTGCTGATTAGGAATTCGTGACACATGATAATGTGTGGTAAGAGACTAGTTAGCATGTAGACTCAAACACCACATTCTATGCCCTAAGCAGGGAAGATAATCGATTTCCTTGAAATGTAACATAGTTTTAAAAGATTACAATATTTGATGCAACAAATACCCGTATCCTTAAGGATGTTATTGGTTAGAAACCAATGGTTTTTACTGTTAACAATACCGGAGAATAGGTTTCAGAATCTTTCTTCTCTAACCTCAACATGGAGGAAGTCTCATAACTTGTTGAAAAAGGCACGTTTCGGAGATAGAAAAGTACAGAAAGTGATCAGAGGCTAAATATTTGAGATATTTTACCCAGTTTAGCATTATTAGAAGTCCCTAATTTCAAGCTACACAGACATTGATAACATGTGGGCATTAGGCTCATTTACGTGAAATACCAAGGAAAAGTAATCATGTGATTAACTTGTGTTAGCAATCATGGAGATTTGTTGTGATACACATAGTTGTCACCCATGCTTTCGATTGCTTTATAGTGAATGAAAATGGTGAAAGGCGTTTGATCTTACCCAGTTGCTTATAGAATGAGACTAAAACGCCCTAACCGTTGAACCGACCTCCGTAACGGAACACTTGTACAATGTATTAATGAATTGCCTTTTATTAATTTCAGCTGGACCAAGATGACCTCTAACACTCCAAGGAACCTTTTAAAGTTTATTTACCGAAGGTGGTGACTATGAGGGAGGAATGATTAAATTCCACATAACTATTGGACCTACCGCATTTTGTTCCGAACGTTCAGATATTTTCCCAGTCGGGTACTGGAATTAATTTGCTACTGAATCTAATCACTTCCCGTTTAGCTCTTATTTGACTTGCTGCTGGATCATCATTTTTAGGGAACTCTTAGTCTGTCCACCAACGCAGATAGGTTATATAATGTATTTTTTTATTTCTCTAGTGTCAGGAAAAACAAGAGCATAGAACAATATATAACGGTATTATTTCGGTCACTCATATTGACTGATCAAATACCCATTCAGACGTGAAAAGTAAATTAACAAAACATTTTATAAATGAGTTTACTCACAACGTTAGTGTTTACAGCAGTTTAGTCTGACACCGTGTGAACTGTTGAAAAATAGGCGAAGGGAGAGATTATAAGTCTATTAAGAATATTTAGTAGAGCTGAGTGAAAGCAGTGGTTTAAAACTGTTGTGATGGTGTATGTTACAGTTTGTTCTATGAAAACAGATACACAAGGAAATGTTTTGTTTTACCTTACAAGTTTAAATTAATTAGTCAAAGAACTTGTATCACTGAGTTGTTTTGTCATGCGACAAATTAGATAGATTCAAGAAAATAAGATCTCCCATGACATCACAGTTCAGTCTGAGACAGATTGGACACAAAAATAGTTGTCAGATAATCCAGTCTGACAGAAAAATGATGTCTGTTGTTTAAGAAATTAACAGAAAATTTATGATTAATAAGAAACAGTTATCTATACTTTTGCAAATAACTGACTAACGTAACCAAATATAATTAACGTAATCATCATTATAAAGCTACTGATGTGCGCTAGTTACACAACAGCAAGGTTCACAACTTACCTCAATCTCAAAAGTTATTTGAGTAACTGCTGGGTAAAAGCTCTACTAATCTTAGCATAAGTTTAATTTATAGAATGAGATGTCTACTTACTTGAACAAAGTTTATGCATTCACAATATTAGCAGTGAAACAAGAATAAAACCGTAATATTACTTAGATTCGTGTTGTTGTAACTATTGGAGATTGGATACATGTTTTACATCTAAACAACTTGATTTTGTACCTCGAATAGGACATGCGTAGTTCATCTTTTTAAACCTGACCCAGTTCACTGACATTAAAAGCCAATCTACTTAACATGGGAGGAATTCACTGTCACTATTTGAACTACTGATCAATTAAGCTGACTTTTAGCTCGAGTTTTTAATCAACATAGACTGACCGAACTCTTAGGTGCCAAGTCAATTAAATGAAGTCTTTATCCTTCGATAGTGACTGACAGACAAAATGTAAATAAGTTTAGCTTGTAATTGTTTCCAGAATTTGGTGGATAATAGCTGTTGAAGTGGTTGTCCAGAAAGGTCATCTCTGAAAATTATCTCTTTACTTTGCCTATTTACAAAAACGCCATGTATTAGTTTACCCAGGGGTAGCTAACAAATGACATAACAAATTGTCCTCCATATTGAGAAGTAGAGAATTTCTATTCTCAAAGCTGTTAGCTGAATCATAAATTAAGTCGAGTCCAAACGAACATTTCAGAGAGATATATATTTCTTAGATCTTTCAGTGAACATAAATTTCAGTGTTTGAAAACAAAACTCATTTGTTTATGGTTAAGCCCTTACAATGTATTATATTAGACGAATTAGAAATTAAATTGCAACTACAGTGTATTCGTATTTCAATAGATAAATATCGGACTAACTTAAACATATTCTTAATTGAACGATAATGTTATGCTAAAAACTTGTGTGCTGCGTCTCGGAAACGCGCATACAGGATCCGAGTAACATCATTCACTTGACCTCACCATGTCAGGATAAAGAAGCAACTCGATCTACACTTCGTGTATCCGGTAGCCCTGATGCTGCTTCCAGTGGGCTCGCTGGCGTAGGTA